ATATATATATATATATATATATATATATATATATAATGCATTTGCATATACGTTTTCTGTGTGAAGTGTTTTGTAAGTTTTGTAAACATTATTATGTAAATTTTATTTTGTGCAATACTTGTGTTATGTATTTATTACAAACATTTGATAAAATATACAAAAAATACATAAATGCATAACATTTTTATAGTAATATACATATATACTGTAGATAGATATAGAACAAGCATTTTATAAACTGTAATATTTTATACTGATTTATATACTAATATATACTATTCATATATGCATTTAATATATAAATTACATGTGTGATATTAATTATAAAAAATAAGATTTATAATTTTTTTTTTTTTACATATTGCATTTGCATGCATATGTTTTTGGTAAAGTGTTTTATAAACATTTATTAGTATTTTAGTTTTATTTATTTATTTTTAGAGAGTGAAGGTGAGGGGAGTAAAACATGAACCGGGTAGGAACATGACGGCCCAGACTAAAAACCACATCTGTCACATGAATATCACTCAACATATCGAACCATACACATCCTTTACAACTCCAAGGTATATGTATATATTTTGAATATAAACAAATTGTTTATTAATTCTATAGACAAAATGCCAGGGTTCATGATCAGTTAATTTTTCTATATTTTTAATCACAGAGAAATAAATTATGACTGCCACCATCCATTCCAGTGCTACTGCTACCATAAAACATTTGTCTGAAATCCTCTAATAATGTTAGTCCAGGTTTCTTGCACCAAATCATAATTTATTTTTCTCCTCTCCTCCTGATCATTCAAATTAAACAGGCTGTTTTGCTGCTGTTCCTTTAAGATTTCTACATGAAATTGATCTCTGTTTTGATTGGCGTGCTGCTGCGTAGCGTCATAGTACTCAGTGTTGTTCTCCAGGGTGGCTAGAAAACACTGTTTCCTATGATATGTCCCGCTTTAATGTCACACACGCTTAAATCTTTAGCTGGTGATGCTTGTTGTGTCATCATTCTTGTAGATCTCACCGTGTTGAAGCGACTTAACCTTAGAACTGAATGTTATGTCCAGAGTCCACAGGAAGCAGCAACTCTGACATATGAAATGCTTTTTTTAGTCTTGCGAGATACTGAATATAGATGTTCGTGATTCCCACCAGTCATTGTACAAATATGTTTTTGAGCATTTACACAGTGATGCTATAACTGACAGCTGTGTATGAGTGTAATAAAATGTGTTCTCAAGAGCCTATTTAATTTTCTCAGATTTAGCGACAAAAAAACCACCAGATTTACCTAAATAAATAACATCAAATAACTTTAAAAAAAATTTTTTATAATTGCATAATTTTTTTTTTCAGTTTCACACTGACTTTATCAATAAGAGCATATCTCTTCTGCTCACCAAGGCTGCATTTATTTGATCAAAAATACAATAAAAACTGTAATATTGTGAAATGTTATTACAATGTAAAATAACTGTTTTCTATTTGTACATTTTTTAAATATAATTTATTTCTGTGATGCAAAGCTGAATTTTCAGCATCATTACTCCAGTGTCACATGATCCTTCAGACATCATTCTGATATGCTGATTTTCTGCTCAAGAAACGTTTATGTTATTAATGTGAAACTGAAGAGAAAACGGTTGTACTGCTTAATATTTTGTGAAAATAGGATGTTCTGGTTTGAAAGAGTTCACCCTCAGGTCTCTATTATATTTTGGTCTCCAGATTTGGCTTTGGTCCATCTTTTAATGTACTTTTTTTTTTTCAGCGTTTTAAGTGAGTTTGATTAATATTTGCCTAATAAATGATTTCTCATAAGATTTCATATTCTTTGAACTCTTCTGCTTTTTTAGAACTGGAAAAAAATAATGGCGTTGGCAATAAAGAATAACACCTCTCTTACAGGATCTCATGTTATCCAAATCCTTTCTGCATTATCCATTCCTCATTATGTGCAAACACACACATATACAGTCTAGACCATTATCAATCACAATTTAATAATCCTATATGACCAAACAGAGCTCTAATATTGCTACAATGCAGCATGTCAACAGATATGTTAGACAGCAGTTTGGCTATTTTTAGAATCTGTTTGACGGACCAATGGCAGACAGGGGGGAGTGTTCAGGAAACCTGTTTGAAAGATCATTTTTTGCTTTTCTAGTTGGACAGGAAATCTGTCACCTCAGATAAAATTTTAGAGAATCCAGTTAGTATGTAGTGTTGTTTGTCGCTGATCATTGATACAGAAAACGCTTAGTGCCACAAGTGAAACCAATATGAGTCCAGTTCAAGCAATGCAGCATGTCAACAGATATGTTAGACAGCAGTTTGGCTATTTTTAGAATCTGTTTGACGGACCAATGGCAGACGGGGGAGTGTTCAGGAAACCTGTTTGAAAGATCATTTTTTGCTTTTCTAGTTGGACAGGAAATCAATACACCTCAGATAAAATTTTAGAGAATCCAGTTAGTATGTAGTGTTGTTTGTCGCTGATCATTGATACAGAAAACGCTTAGTGCCACAAGTGAAACCAATATGAGTCCAGTTCAAGATTTTTACAGGAAATGTGATTACAGAAATGTCTGGAAAGGTCAGATCGAAACTTATAAGAGAAGCGGAAAGTTGTTCCCGTGAAAGTCTGCTAGTAAACAGCATCTTGCGCTGTAGGATAAATGACCCTCTGTGTGCTGTTCAAGGCGTGACAGTACGGCTGTGAATGGTTGTATTGATTTTTGTGCCATTTCTTATCTGTGGCATACTAACCTTGTGACCTAAATTGGAGCAAGTTGTACCCCCACCTGTTTACTTTTATAAAGTAACACCGTGAGCTGCAGCCAATAAAGTGTGCCCTGAACCGCAGCTGCAAAATTATAAGAGCCCTTTATGCAATTGACTCTATATTACATGTGTTTTGATAACCTTATTAACTTACTTTGACCTGCATTGTCTTCTTGATGCCTGAATATGTGAATTGTCAGCAAAGATTTCTACACTGGCACTATTTTTGTTTGTCTGGCAGGTCTGGCATGTGATTTCCCAGTCATGTCCTGAGAGTTATAGTCACACGGAGAAGTCCTCCAATATGGTCATCGGTCGATATACACTACAATTCAAGAGTCTGAGGTCTGTAAGATTTTTAATGCTTTTGAAAGAAGTGTCTTATGCTCACCAAGGATGCATTTTTAAAAATAAAAATACAGTAAAAACTGTAATATTGTGAAATATTATTACAATTTAAATAAACTGTTTTGTATTTGAATATATCTTAAAATATAATTTATTTCTGTGATGCAAAGTTGAATTTTCAGAATCATTACTCCAGTCTTCAGTGTCACATGATCCTTCAGAAATCATTCTAATATGCTGATTTTCAGGATTTAGATGAATAGAAAGTTTAGAAGTTCAAAAGAACAGCATTTGTTTTAAAAACGGGTATCTTTTGTAAGAATATTAATGTATTTACTGTCACTTTTAATCATATTGTA